CAAGATTTGTTTTGTGGAGATGAATCCGATGAGATAGAGAACGAGAAACCAATATATGTGAACGATCAGTTGAGTGATGTGAAAAACTGATGACAATGTTGAGATTGTTAGGAGTGATCACAGAACTGAATGAACACATTTATGGTTAATTGTGAAATTGATTTTTGATTTTCCATAACAACTACTGTTTGAACAACAACATGAATTGTGATTACTGTTCCTGAAAATTAGATTGCAATTGGAATCAGCTTTTCATCAAACAATGCTCTGCATTTTGTGGATGTATGTAGACAGTTACAATTTATTTCGTTTATCATTTTTGAAAAAAAATTAAATTTTTACGACCAACGCTGCTACAGGACCGAACATTTTAAGCTCGAATTTGTCCCGAATTTGGACCGAACATTTTAAGCTCGAATTTGTCCTGAATTTAAAACGACGTCGTTTTAGATTATTTTATCAGTAAGAGAATTTTATTATATGTTATCGGTAAGAGAATCTAAAACGACGTCATTTTGAGTTTCGAGCCAATTTCGAGCCAAATAATTTTGGACCCTCAAACATTTTTCTTTTACGAATTTACATATAGTAAATAATTTTATAAAAATACGTAATTTTGATATAAATTCATATACTTACATAAATACGTAATTTTAATATAAATTCATGTACTTACATAAATTGTTATGAATTTATACTTTTTTACTTATATAAATTTATAAAAATTTATATAATTTTATAAAAAAAATTACATATAAATGTATTACACAAAGAAATATATCCTCATTTTCAATTGTAGGGTGCTTGGAACGATGGTAAAAGTCATAATTTTTCCACTCGGTATCCGACCCACTTTGGGCCGACTAATCCGGATTCGGGGGAGCAGTTATGGATGGTTAGACTCAAGCCCCCTCCCAATTGGCGTTGCGGGGGATCGAACCGTAGTCCTCCCTACCAAGTCGAGCTCCAATCGCCACTCGACCAACAAACAATTGGTTAGTTGCATTTTGCATGTGTTGCATTAAGCATTTTTGTATAGTTAGGATCATGCATGATTTCTAATATAGTTTCTATTTTGGCTTGGAGTACTCGGTGAGTTTTATGCTTTAGCATCCTTGCATGCGTGTGAGTGTTGCCATGAATAGCATGCTTACCATGAGGCTATGTGCTTATCTGATATAACTGCCTGAATGCCTGTGGGTGAAGGTTGGGTTATTTGAATTGGAATAATTCATCAAATGTGTGTTTTAAGCCCACTAGATAGTGGCAAAATCATATTTTTCTAAGCCCACCTTTGTGGAGATGAATCCGATGAGATAGAGAACGAGAAACCAATATATGTGAACGATCAGTTGAGTGATGTGAAAAACTGATGACAATGTTGAGATTGTTAGGAGTGATCACAGAACTGAATGAACACATTTATGGTTAATTGTGAAATTGATTTTTGATTTTCCATAACAACTACTGTTTGAACAACAACATGAATTGTGATTACTGTTCCTGAAAATTAGATTGCAATTGGAACCAGCTTTTCATCAAACAATGCTCTGCATTTTGTGGATGTATGTAGACAGTTACAATTTATTTCGTTTATCATTTTTGAAAAAAAATTAAATTTTTACGACCAACGCTGCTACAGGACCGAACATTTTAAGCTCGAATTTGTCCCGAATTTGGACCGAACATTTTAAGCTCGAATTTGTCCCGAATTTGGACCGAACATTTTAAGCTCGAATTTGTCCCGAATTTGGACCGAACATTTTAAGCTCGAATTTGTCCCGAATTTGGACCGAACATTTTAAGCTCGAATTTGTCCCGAATTTGGACCGAACATTTTAAGCTCGAATTTGTCCTGAATTTAAAACGACGTCGTTTTAGATTATTTTATCAGTAAGAGAATTTTATTATATGTTATCGGTAAGAGAATCTAAAACGACGTCATTTTGAGTTTCGAGCCAATTTCGAGCCAAATAATTTTGGACCCTCAAACATTTTTCTTTTACGAATTTACATATAGTAAATAATTTTATAAAAATACGTAATTTTGATATAAATTCATATAATTACATAAATCCGTAATTTTAATATAAATTCATGTACTTACATAAATTGTTATGAATTTATACATTTTTACTTATATAAATTTATAAAAATTTATATAATTTTATAAAAAAAATTACATATAAATGTATTACACAAAGAAATATATCCTCATTTTCAATTGTAGGGTGCTTGGAACGATGGTAAAAGTCATAATTTTTTTAAACTTTTATTAAAATTATATCAAAAAAATTAATTTTTAGCCAGTCTTGCGGATACAAATTTAAAATTTTCAAAAAAAGGAAATTATTGAGAAATTCAATTGCTTTCAATTTTTTTATTTTTTTTTTGGGCCTTTCTAGACTTCTTTTCAAACTTTTTTTAAAAAAAATTATTTTTTCAATCCGTCTAATCCAGTAAAATTCAAAATCCTAAAACTTATTTACATTTTTCTTTAAATTCAGTAACGGCGCAAAATAAGTCCAAAAAAAAGAAAAAGAAAAAAATCTTATAGAATGTTAAAGACAGCCATGAGGCTGTAAATAGTGTTGAGGTGTGTAAAACTTGTATAGATATATGTGAAAAATGTATCAAAAGTTATAAAAATACTAAAAATACAATATTGAAATTATAAATATTATTTTTATTTGTTTTTTATCGACAATTCTTATAGTTGTCATTAATATGACCCTTAATATAATTTGGCTCACGTTAACTTAATTCGTGTGTGTATCACTATTACAATCACTCCATCAACTCAAATCTTGAATCTATGACCTTCTCACTGTTACAAAAGACAACTATATAGACCACTAGGCTAACTGTTATTGTCCGTTTACCTCTCATCATTGTTTTTTTCTATTTATTGATATCTTAAAGTATCTCCAACCCGTTAATATCTAATTTTATTTTAAATTAGAGTAAAATAAATTTGATTTAATGTGAACTATTCCAATCCTTTTATTGAATTTTCATCAAATTCTTTTTAAAAACTCTCATCTTATCTCAAATTTCACTTTTTATTTAATTTGATGGGGAAAAATCATTTTCAATGCCTCATCTTTTCATCAAATTTGATGAAAAATTTACTTAGTACTCAATTTAATAAAAATAAATAAATGTCTTTTCCTTGATGGGATAAACATTTGATGAAACTTTGATGAAATTACTGGAGATGGTTTTTGAATTTTTTTTATCAAATTTAAATTTAATTTTTTAAAAATAATAATAATAATTAATGATTGAATATGCTCTTACTGTGATGAAATACAAAAAATAAAAATAAAAATGTATTAAAGGCAGTTTTGTCTTGAAGAAATGAGCTGGAAAGCAAATCCACATGAAGCAACCTGAAAAGAAAGGGAAAAGAAGCAAAAAGAAAGGTCCCACCGAGATTTGAACTCGGGTTACTGGATTCAGAGTCCAATGTCCTGACCACTAGACCATGGGACCCCTTTTGATCTTTTTTTTCTGTTTTAGGATAATATAATATAAATTTGTATATGAAGAGGTTAAGGAAAATTTATTATAAGTGGTAAATATTTGAATTTATATTGAATAATTACAATTTGATGAAAGGAACAAAAGTAATTAATAATTCAACTAATAATTAGAAATCTTTTATTAAGTTACGAAATTATCTTTCCCCTGTTTTTCATCTCCTCCTCCTCCCTTACGAAATTATTTCATCAGTTATCATTTCGAATGAAATTATGTTAGATTCTTCATCAAATTTCAAATATTTTGATTTTTTTTTCTTTCTTGTCCCTTTTTAAGTACAACTACTTAATTAACTGAATTCAATTATTAAACTTGAATACAAATCAGTGAAAACATTTGGGATCACTATTCAGTGGTCTTCGATAATAGGATAGTTGATTATTCAGTAAGAATTTCAATCCTTATCTGCTAAGCTTTTATCATTTCAACATAAACATACTGTTATAAAAATAAAAATAAAAACATAAACATACAATTAATCGTCTGTATAATCTTTCTTTGGTGAGAGAATTCAATCAGGAAAACCCCACTGCCTTGACTGATTGAAGACTGCACAACCAAAATCACCACCGCACGAACAAGAATTCCTAAATTAGCAATCTTTCCTAAACTTGACCATAAAAATTCCCACACATTAGAACTAGGGCTGTCAATCGACCGGACTTAATCCGAATCCAATCCGAAAATTCAAATTCATTTACAAAAAAATCCGATCCACAATTTGAATCCGTTTAATTCATTTATTAAATAGATCGAATATGCAAAAATCCAATTCAATCTGGTAATCCAATCCAATTATTCTCAATTTGAATGAAGACAACAAAAACAAATTATATAAAATTGTATCTCAATGAATAAATAAATGGATTGGATTATCTAATTGGATATCTGAAATTATCATATTCGGATTATCTATAATCAAATATGGGCTAAACAGATTCAAATCGGATTTGGATTTGTTTTGATCGAATTGGATTCGAATTTTGACAAACCCAATTCGAACCCGATCCATTTCCAGGCCTAGTTAGAACGCCTGACAAAATGGACCAAGACGAGAGATCTGCGCAAAAAAAAATTGCTATCGCTCCCTCAAGAAAGGCTTGACCCATAGCCTGACCGAACACAAAATGACAGTTGGTGACCCCAGACTAATGACCATGAGTCTCGATCCAATCATTGCCCCAAAGACTCAAACCCATGTCCCCTTAGGGCACCAAACACATGGAATAAGCTCCCACCCTTGGGTGCCACAGCATCAACTAAACCAGTGCAACATTGTATCATATCCATCCAGAAGAGCATCCAGCTACTATAGTAACATCAACATGATAGCATAAACAAAAATATGTCAATGACCAAACTATTAACATTACTCCCAAACATGAGTTGGTGCAAACAAAAACAAATTTCAGACTATTAAGGTTCTTCCATAATGTCATCAAACATAACCACTAGAATAGAACAAATAAAAAAAGAACCACCACAATAACATATAATCACATTTCCGGATCAAAGCGATGTTAGAAGTATATCTGTATGGGAAGAAATGGAAAAGCATTTACAATTTAGACCAAAAAAAAGAATCTCCACTGGGCTCCTATATTCAGTACTTGGCTATTGAACTCCAAATCCTATACAATCAAAATGTGACACAAATCAATTGTTAAAAAAATCGGATCATGTCAATTCTTCCCACAAATCGCATGATCTCTTTGTAAAATGAAGCCTGCTCTTTTCTAGCAACTGCCAAAGATCTATCGTTAGAAAAAGCTTCTTCGACTGTGTAGCTGCTGCGGCTGCTAATAATAATGAATCTATTGAAATATGAGCACTGAATTACACTATAAAGAATACCCTAATTAGACCATGAACAGGTACTTCAAGTCCTCTACTGTAAGCCGAGTCTGACGACTACCTGTCTCGTCCTCGCCAAATGCAGAGGCAACCATCACTCTCTTTTTTTGCTGCAAAACAGAAAGTGAGTACTCAGCATCAGCATTGAAAGGAGATATAGAATACAGATACTAAGGCCTCGTTTGGGAACAGGCTAATTTAGTAACTTTTTGACTATTTGGCTAAAATATGAACTAAAAAAAACTAGTATGTTTTGGATAACTTTTTGGCTTTTTACGAAAAAATGTGTAAAAAGTAGAGAGAAAAAAGAATCTTTGACTTTTTGATATGGGTTGTGGCTTTTTAGCTTTTTTATAACTTTTTGACTTTTTTGCTAAACTGGCCTGTTGCCAAACGGGGCCTGTTTGGACCATAAGCCAAATATACGTGATTGATTAACATAACAAAAGCTTTTCTCAGGAATAGGGAAAAATATATGAAGTAGCATGTCCTATTCAGATTTCAATAATTTGGTTACCTGTCAGATAATAATAACCCTCTACACACTTGAATCTGTAAACAATGCCATCACTAACTATAAAATATTGTTTACAACAGGTGTGAGAGGATCTTCATCCACAATTATTATATGGGTAAATTTCATTGAATCTCACAAGTTTGGCATAATTACACCAACCTCCCTTTTAGTAAAAGGGACAAATGCACATGATGTGTAAACACAGATAATCAATGATAAAATATATATATATATATTTTAGTATAAAAGAAATAAAATATCAATTTTTTCATCTATATGACTTATGAATGAATGATGGAAAGGAGGCTAACATTAATTTAAACCTTAAGGGAGCATAATTTTACTATGTCAAACTTGTGGGGCTTGGTGTATTTTTTCCAAACCTCAAGGCAGGTTGCGTAATTTTTAGTAAACGGGACTAATGCAGATGATGTCTAAACACAGAGATAATCAATGACAAAATTTATATATTTTAGTATAAAAAGAAATGAAATATCATTTTTTTCATCCATATGAGTGATGGAAAGAAGGCTATGTGTAACGTGAATTAAAACCTTAAGGGAGCATAATTTAACTATGTCAAATATGTGGGGCTTGGTGTATTTTTTCCAAACTTCAAGGCAGGTTGATGTAATTTACCTTTTATATCTATTCAGAAAATGAAAAAGAATGATCAGAAGAATCCCTGCTCTCAGCTTGAGAACATATCAAGGCTAAAATTGGTTTAAAATCCTGTCTCCTCCAGAGTTTCCTGGTATATACTTATTACTTGTCCAATTTAGATATGCACGAGGCATTCTCCTTAACCTCTGATCACATCCTTTACAAACTCCTATACACATGTCGCACACTTCAAAAGTTTGAAGAATGATGAAATCAGCAGCACATGATTATGACACACAAACGAAATGAATATATTTGCCACAGCAATTGTTCCTCTGTTGGTTTTCCCTAATGGTTGGTCATTCATTTATCCTCATTTCTCTCATTTGTTAAACTTTATACTAGTACCTCAACAGTTTAGACATTTATCCCAAAAAAAATTCAACATAAACCCAATGAATTGTCAAGGACAGTTGTTCAAGTACTAGCATTTCTCAGTGGTTGGTCATTTGCCTTACATTGTGCATTATGATATATCATGTTAGATTACTTGAATGACAGGTCATTCCACTTCACAACATCTATCCACACCCTTTTTGCTTCTTTTGTCCTTACAGGAACATAAAATTGCGATATAATGCTACTAAGGTTTAACTGGGCTACAAATAAAATTAAGGAATGATAAATTTTGTAAAGATGGTGTTCATTCAAGAAACCAAGCAACCATTATTAGTAAGTAAATCAGTTTTATCCTTACCAATGCCTTCACCAGCTGTTATAAAAGACCCTGTTCAACATCTAAAATACCTCTACTACCATATGTTAATCAAGTACAAAAGTTCTCAATCATGGTCTCATCATATTATAAAATCAATTACTCATTGCAAACAATTAATGAGAAGAAAAAAAGAAAAGAAAAGTAAAAGCAAGCATAACAAATTCGTGCCAATAATAATGTGACAGCTGATGGTGAACATTTCTACACTACCTTAAAAAATCTTACGAATTTTACATTGACAATGGAAAAAAAACAGGCCACAAGATTGGAGCAAAAATAATAATACCTGAAGAGCTAAAATGCGATCTTCAACTGTATCTTTTACTGTCAACCGCAAAACTGTAACCGGACGGGTCTGTCCAATCCGATGGGCTCTATCTATTGCTTGATCTTCAGTTGTTGGGTTCCACCAGAGGTCCAGAAGAAGAACACGACAAGCTGCAACCATGTTCAGTCCAAGACTTGCAGCCTTCAAAGACATAATCATGACAGACACCTACAAAAAAAAGTATAAAGGGCCAAATTCAAGACTCATAAATCTATAACCTAGCCAATATTTAAGCATACTAACAAAAACTACCAAGATCCCCACAAACCTCAGGAAGAGTGTTAAAATCTTTCACAGCTTTATCTCTGGCAAGAACAGACATTGTCCCGTCAAGTCTCCTGTACTGAATGGAAGATTTCTTGAGACAATCTTCAAGCAAATCCAACATCCTCGTCCACTGAGAGAAGACTATTGCTTTCTCCCCCGCTACTTTAATCGAATCGTTCCGACCTTTTTCCAAATCTGAGTTTATTTTATCAAGCATATCCTGCTCTAACCCCTTTGAAAGAGGATCAGATGAGTTTTCTGGACAAGTGGCAGTTTCATCAATAGATTTCAATGTGGTAATTCTTGGTATACGGTGGCTTGGTTTTGAAAGTGATTGCAGGACCTCAAGAGCAGCCTTGATTTTGGACGAATCAAATGAGTGACTCCATGAACCAGGCTCAATCTTAACAGAGACTTCAGAACCACCACAATCAGGGGTACCATCCTCACCCGGCTGCTGCTCCGAGAGTAAACATTTTAATGTGGCTCTAGAAAACACTGATGATAAACTGAGTCGAGCTTTGCAATTTGTGGCAGGGCACTGATTGTCATCACCTGTAAGATCTTCACAGATACATTGATTGCAAAAGACATGCCCACAGCTTGTTACAACAGCATCCTCAGGTGGATCCTACAAAAAGGTCAACATATTTATTTCAAGAAATAAGTACCTCGTCAACTGAATTTATTAGAAGATAATTTAAGATCAATACATGAAGCAAAGAGTTTTAAGCACAAATTGAGAAACGGTTGTGAAAACCTTGCAAGGTAACCATTAATACATGGGAGTTGAGTTTCTAACAAGTAATGTACCATGTAATCAACACTGGGGTAATAAACTTTAGGAGTTACTATATTAAAAATCACATTTATAGAGAGAAGTTGAAACAAGAATCTGTGTAACTGTGTAAGATATGACTGCTATGTAGTCTTCTTCAACTGTAATTGTTTGTTAGCATACTGACCAAACCACCAATGAGAATAATAGCATCTAGAAACATGGTATTGCTCCAGATATGCAGAAACATGGGCATACTATCCCCATTTACTTCATGGAACGCATCTTATGCCCCCCTGAAGCATATGCTATCTCCATCACAAATTGACCAATAGAGCAACCATTTTTTAAATAACAAAGCTAAAAGCCAAACTGAGACCAGCTGCTGCAAATCTAATCATAGCACCCCTACTTCTTGGACAACACATGGCACCTCAATCTAATTACAATGATATGAATTAGTAACAGTAATCCCATTAACATAGAAACTATGCAGCCATATAACAAAACTATGTTCTATTTGGTGTCCGTAGGCACATCTGTAGATAGGCAGGAGATGCATCATCTTTTTTTGTTTATCAGCAACAAATAAAAACTGTATTAGAGAACATGTCGAGGATGTAACGTTACGTTCCGGGTCTTAAACCAAGCTATATGGAGGCCCGGTACACTTTCAGACCCTCAAATTGTCGGATTATACTTTGTTGAGATTGATTGCATTAGTATAAATTCCTATTAGCATGTAATGTATTTAATATTTGAGTTTTGGGCATAAGGACCGAAAATTGACACACAGAAAAACTCCTTGAACTTTTGGGCCTCAGCTGATAGGGCTGCACATGCGGCAAGGATGCCCGCACGTGCAGATTGGTGCAGTAGGGATTAAAATTTTGGGCAGTGCAGCGGTCAGCCCCGCACATGCAGCAAGGGTCCCATAGGTGCGGCTAAGCAGGGGCGCACATGCAGCTAGTTTGAGTTTCTGGGTTCAACACTGCAGGAAACCGCAGGTGCGGCGAGGAGGGCCCGCACGTGCATGCGGCCAAGGCTCAGAAGCTGCATGTGGCAGCCTCCCAGCCAAGTGTTTTTGAGCCCCTTTTTCATCATCAGCCCATTCCTCCCTCTTTCTTCATTTACCCTCTTAACTCACTCTCTCTTTATCTCTATTTCCTCTCTACTCATTCTCTCTCTATCATAACTCTCACTTTCAACCTCACACTTAGAGCCTTTAGAGTGAGAATTGATCTCTGACCTGAACGTCGATATTGTAGAGCTCGACGAGGGCTTCAAGATCACTGAACCGAAAAGTTGATTCGGGCATTCATTTCCGATTTGCGCTCTCATTTTCCACTTCAAGAGATAGGGTTCCCTTTCATTAGCTCAATATGGATTTATGGGTGTATTTGTGGTATTTTGATACAATGTATTTGGGTTGTTATTGTTAATTTTGAGAAAATGCATGATATGAAGATTAGGGTTTGGTGATTAGGTCCGTAATTTTCTTAACAAACTTATTTTCACTATATAAAATTGCATGAGAAAGCCTTAATTTGAGAAAACCCAAAATTTGTGAAAAAAAACCCTGAATTTTGAGATTTCATGAATTGAGAAATTGATGAGGAAATATTGAATTGGTGATACCATTTTGAGATTTATGTTGTTAAATTAAAATTTGAAGTATTATAAGGAAGTTGGAGAATTGTGAATGTAATTTGTGAAATTATAATGTTGTAGAGGTAATTGTGGCCATTAGTGAGAAATGATGTTGTTGATATTAATACAATAGGATGGTGAAATCCACATCCTTGATACTATTGAATAATTGATTTTATGAGGATGAAAACCCATTGTTGAACAGAGGTGCACAAAGCATGTTTTACGATTATTGAATTTCACATTGTTGCATCGGTTACACCAAAATATCATGGTTTTAATTGAATATTAGTGGTGAATTCAAGTCATGTATAAATGAGATTGGTATTAATTTGGCTTGATAGTCCATGGTGAAAGACCGAAAACCCGCACGATGTAGGTGCCAAGGTCCTTTTGGTTAGCAATCGATAAATTTGGTGGTGTTTAGGTGACACTTAGCGATGGTCACTGGTAGAGTGTAGCTTCGGATAATACACTAGATTAGGTGGTGTTTAGTGATAGCAAATACATGTACTCGAGAGGATTCACTGAGTCTTTAGTGTTAACGACAAAAATTGTTAACGTAATGAAAATGTTTTGAGCATATTATACTTAGATAAAATCATGATCATGTACATGTGTGAGAACATATTATCTCCTGAAATGTTACCTTCCTGGATTGTATGTTCACCCTACGTGGCTGAAATTTTTTTCAGGTGTTGATGGCGTGCCCCAACCTTGAGGCAAGGCATTGGGATATGTGCATGAGCTAGAAGAGCTCTTTTTGATTTGTAGGCCTTGGATCATCTTTTATAGGCGGAGTGCCATTTTTGTAAGGGTTGAACCATTTTACTTTATGTAAGCTAAAAGGCATTTTATTTACTTATGACATTATTGCTTTCGTTTTACATACTGTATATTCACTCCCCGTAATGAATAAAGGATGTATGTAATTGGACAATCTCATGTAATGAATGCCATTGATATATATATATATACACACACACACATGTATGAGAGAATCCCTTGATTTCGTTTAATATTGTCTTTTCTTTCATTATTTATGATTATTCTGTGGGGGTCAGATTTTGGAAATCCGGGGTGTGAGGCATAACCCTTATAGAACCAAAAAGAGAAAAAAAGAAAAAGAAAAATATAGACTCAACACCCCTTATACAGTCAAAAAAGCACCCATGCCCAACAACAAAACTGCATCAAAACTTTGCCAACTTTCACACAATGTTTTTTCCACCTCAGACATTGATTTTCATCAATATCCCCTGCCTGCCCAACCAATAGAAGCTGCAGATTTAACCATCAGATGCTTCTCCTCGAGCTACCACAGAAACTCGTCCCCCCTAAATACAACTCTCTCAAACTTAATTTTCAACCTCAACCTTTCCCTTCTAAGCACCCTCATCCAACTCCCCCAAGGCCTCTAACCTATCTGCTTTATCAATTTTTTTAACCATCTAATTTTTTACTTCTGTAAAATTTCCAAAAATCTCCGTATTCCATACTTTGAGCTTTTCCTTAACCATCCTCAACTTCATACGCTTCAAAGCCTCACACCCATAAACATTATGATCATCCTTCCCCTACTTCCTAAAACCTCTTAAAAGCAAAGGATGATCTAACCACATATTCTCAAATCTAAAGGGGTAGGTCCCCACTTAAATGGACAATCTTCAAGGAGTATTAGACAACTATCAGACGACAACACTGTTGGAAGCACCTCTTGCCTTACACTCAGAACTTTCCTCCCATCCTAAGGAAAATAAAACTCTACCCAGCCTGTTGCACCCCATATTCTCTTGAAAATTGGACCAAGTAACCACAGCATTCAAACAATTTGTGCAATATGACTGATGTCTTTATTAAAAACATCAATGAATATAGTTTTATCTAAGCAACCAAGAAGAGAAAAATTAATAAAAACTGAAACTTCACAAAAGGGACCAGCAAGTAACCACATACATTGCATATGCTGCAAATTGCCAAAGAAGCTTCCAAACAATTCAGAAGATAAACTTGCTTCTCCTGAGGAAGTTTCTTCGCCATCTCAACAGATGATTTCCATGCGGAACTAGAGTCGTACCCTCTTACAAGAAGAGGATGATCACATGCTTGTCGAAGGCGCAAGAGCATCAACAAAATGTTGACATAATTTTGTTTGACAGTTCCAGCAGCTGCATATTCCTGGCAAAATATCAATCTAGAGGTCAAAAGAAAGGGAATAGTAAAAAGGAAGAGTAAGCATGATCACAACATTAAAAAAAAATCAATCATAAAAACTTGATAAAATTGCAAAATTAGAAAGTATTTTTGAAGCATAAACATACTGCAAACTGAGCTCTTGAATCAGCCTCCAGTCTGCGGTAGAAATCACGCTCCTCCTTCGTGAACTCCACTTTTTTCAATTCTACTGATTTGGGTGGTAAGTTGATGATGGGTTCCCCGTCAAGAAGTGTGCCTAGAGCAAAAATTGCCACCAAATAACCATAAGTTCCAGCAGCAGGATGCACATTGATGCAGTCCTAGTTGCAGTTCCAGACAGAATAATAGCCATCAACTTGGAAAAAATCAGATAAAGAACAAAGCATATGCATTGTAACTTAATGTTAATATATCCATGAATTTCGCGGCATGCCAGCATATCACAAAACCAACATCTAAAACAACTTATATTACATTTCTCAAATGGAAATTAAAAATGCATATCCTGGATGCTAAAGACAGTCGTGACTCAGAATAAATAAAAACAATAGGAATTGGTACAGAAAATGCATACATTCAAAAGTACTTTAAGGATGCAGCACAATAACAATCTAAATTTGCCAATAGGAGCAAAATTTGACAGCAAACCATAACTTGCAGTTTGCCAGGTGCTAGTGTAAACCAACCCAATCCCTACAGCTGTTCCCTTGTTGAATAGGTGATGAAAATATGCTAGTAAAATCTCAAAGGCAAACAAAAAATGATCACTTTAACCATGTTGCTCCACAAAAATTGTTGTTTATAGGATATGTCAGTCGGTAACTTGCAAGAGATACAAAATAGTCAAAAGTTTCTGAAACAAGCATAACGATAATTTTTCAACATAAAAGTCCCTAGCAGTTTCATGGAAAGTTCAGTAATACTTGCAAGTCACAACCACAAGAACAAGGCATACCCTGTAGATAAGTGGAAAAAGTTCAAGAGGGAAAGTTTAGTTCAGTCCTACATGCCGCAAGAGGGGGAAAAAGGATGAAACACATCAGCAATTTTACAATTACAAGAGACAACAAAGAAGCATCCTATAGATAAGTGACAGGAAGCTATTTTAGAACGTCTTTCAAAAATTGAGCTTCAAAAATAATTCAAAGACTCTTCGGCATATTATGTTGCACAGAAGGAAAGAAAAAAAGAAAGGAGGGAGAGAGGACGGAAGAGAGAGAGAAAAACTGAATTAAACTTCATGTAGCTGTCAATTCAGAGAAAGAAAGAAAATAAATAAAATCTTCATGTCAATTCACCTTTTGTGCGACGTAGCATTATTGTCTTCAAGACAGCCTGTAGCTTTTTGTACCCATTCTTTGGGTTCCTATTGATCGGGAACTTTATTGTGGAGCAGAATGACTTATACACAGCATATGGGTCATATCTGAGAAATCTAAAGTAGCTATAAAGATCATCAACAGCATTCTGGATAGGTGTCCCTGATAAGCACCACCTGCGTTTAGCACGGAGCCCCCAACAAGCCCGAGCTACTTGAGTTCTGTGATTTTTTATGCTCTGTGCCTCATCCAGTACAACCCTAAACCATCCAACCCGAGCGAGAGGACGAGCAGCAGATTCAAGCAATGCATTTTCCATTCCCTTCTTATCCTTCAAAGATCTTTTATCAGAACTAGGAGGATATTTCCTCTTCCTACTAGATGACAATCCCATGGGAGTAACAATGCGAGCTTCTTGCCTTCCAGTCTCATCATCATCTTTATCAACAAGAGGCTGCTTTGGGACCTCCATGCTTACAATTGAATATGTTGTAAGGACAACATCATACTTGGCCAGCTCAAAAGGATCCTTCGTCCGATTGCTTCCATGATATACTAAAACAGATAGATTAGCTTTGCTAGTCACCTTGTTATGCAATTCATCAGCCCATTGCCGCAAGACACTTGTAGGACATACAACAAGGGTTCCAGCAGCTGGCCTACTCTTGGCTTGCACATAAGTGTCCGTCCTCTTAATCGGAGTTCCATTAGACACAACTTGACATGACTCAACATCCTGCTTCGATTGGTCAAGCTCAGACACACAATCATCATCTTCATCCAAATTTAATGTTTCCATTTCATTTTGTTTCAAATTGTCTGGACACGGTCTGGAAGATGGAGCCCTTTCCTTGAGTATAAGCGCAATTGTTGATATCGTTTTCCCCAGTCCCTATCAGAGAACAATTGTATAAGCCCAGATTAACATCAAGATCGCATAATTCAATATCTACCCTCAAGTAGCACTACAAATATATATATATATATATATACGTATGTATATATGAAAAACCAAAGAAGCCAACCTGATCATCTGCAAGAATTCCTCCAGAGCAGTGCAAGCTGGCTGTCTCCTTCAGGACCATCCAAGACAAAGCAATTCTCTGTCCAGAATTTCAACTAATGTCAATCCAGGCAATTGATAACAATACTCCAACCCCTAAGCAGCAGGGGAAAGAATAACTACGCACACACGCACACAACAGAGTTGAGAAATCCCCACAACATGACACAACAACAAACTAAAAACAAGTTCTAGTTCTTGAATGCTACAAATAATGGTCTTGTATATGATGCCAGCCCAATGCTACCAAAAAATGCTAATACCTTAGTGAATTACGTTTTGGAACACATGTTCCAAAACATGATACAATGTCGTTCCAAAATAGTAATTTTAGTGATCGGAAGCAATCCCAAAAGTTTTTTCAATACATTTCCTTGAATGTTTCCTTAGGAAGGAAAAAAATTCAAATATAATGAACTAAAACATAAGGTGAGTTAAATTTTGATCTGACATAACATAAAAAATGGCTCACAATGCTCATAGAATTGTTTTGCTACATGATTAATTTGGAAATAATATTAGATGTCTAATAGTTAAAAGAAAATTACTCTAGAAGTACCTTAAATTTTTATAATATAATCTATATAAATCTATCACTATCGTACCACATTTTAGAGCATGTGGAGTACCACATTCTTGTTCCACTTCCACGTGTGAAGCAAAGTCCCACATCACCTTTATACTGAAGTAATATTAAGCATATAAGAATGAGGGCACCCCCACCCTAATAGCTAGCTTTTGAGGTGAGTTCTACCCAAGATCGTGTAACATGGTTCAAAGCCAAAGTACTCACGGATGGGTAGGGTGCATGTCCCTAGCCTGCACACCATAGGTGCTACCAAGTGAGCACACTGGGCGTGAGGAAGAGTGTGAAGTGAAGTCTCACATCGCCTTTATACTAAAGTAATATTAAACATATAAGCGAAAGGGCACCCTCACCTTAATAGCTAGCTTTTGGGGGATGAGTTCTACCCAAGAGAATCCTTGTTCCATACAATTCGATAAATCAAATCCTATACATATTAGGCTTCCTAGTAGATTCCGAACTCTACTATCCTAACTCAAATACATGTATAAACCAACCTAATATGCAGGTGCTGCCGAGGGAGCACGCTAGGCCTGAGAGAGGGTGTGAAGCGAAGTCCCACATCGCCTTTATACTAAAGTAATATTAAAGATATAAGTGTGAGGGCACCCTTACCTTAATAGCTAGCTTTTGTGGTGAGTTCTACCCAAAACCGTGTAACACCACATACCGGACAATCCACATTTTAGGTAACATAGTGTCAGCCACATTAAACTAGCTGTTTAGATAATTATTATTATTATCCAAAATACCCTTACTTTGTCCAACATTCGACTTTACTTTTGTTCTTTTTCCATCCACACAAATATCAAATGTGTTAGATCAAAGTGCAATATTACACAACCAAATTCCTCTTTCGCAATTGAATATTTTATTTTGGTGCCTCATTAAGACAGAGATCCAAATATATATTGCTACATCATTCATTCATCTATACTTAACCAAAGCTACCAAAACCTAACATTTTAGCTAATAAAATAGAACTAAAGAACAGCTCAAAACCTGGTGTCTTAAAAGAGGCACAGCCAAAAGACCATCTGGTGGAATAGCTTCTGTTTTTGGCTGAGAAAGATCCTGCAATGCAAGCCAGAACTCCAATCTCAGAAATGTTCAGCATTAAAAAATAAAAAAGTTAACTGTTAAATATAACAAATTATCTGTGGGCACAAATACAGGGGTCATATTTCAACACAGACATGGCAAGTTCTGCACACAAACCCAGATTCTAGGCACCACCAGGACCAGTACACTGCATAACACCTTTATTTGACAAGAAAATATTTATTGAACACATGTCTCCATGGTTAAACTTGAACCACTTAATTTTGTCCATACTGAAGAACACAAAGAGGGAGGAAAACAATGAAGAATAAAACAATGGTCCCTAGGTGGAAAGAATAATACAACCACTTTTATAATATTGCACGTTTTTTGGTCAAAGTCTAAGCTTTTGTTTGTATCATATAAATGAGTTTAGTCAACAGTGCTCACATACTATTTTGCTGGTAAATCATAAAAACTTTATTAAAATCCAAAACACAAAAAAAAAGTAAGATGACACAAGCCAATCACTGATCAAGGGATGTGTCTCACAAATCATGAAATCTAAGCACAGATGTTCTAATTTTTCCAAAGCTATAGCATTCAATCACAGCTATAATCAATTTGCATATACTTGAAATGATGCTGCAAACATCATTCTAGTTAAAAACAAGAAAAAAAACATATTACTTGAGTTTTTGTTTTGCCACTGCTGACAAACTATATTCAATATATGATATACTACGTTGATGCTTTAAAGATGCAAATAATTAACATATGTCAGAAGATACCAAGTTCATTCAATTTTTTGATGCAGCGTATTAATATCTGTGAATACATGTATTAGAAAGTAAGCCATATCCATTATCAAAAGGCAATTTCTCTGTATTCTCCCCCCCCCCCCCCCCCCCCCGCGGGGGGTATAAGTTGCAAGGCAATTTCTCTGATGACCTAGAAAGCGATGGACACAAATACAGGATACAAGTACAAACTCTACAACACAACAAACCAGCAAGTTCCAAACAAACAGGATACAAATACATCAAAACACAGCGACATATATACATCCATATGTATCCACTATTTACATATATAATGAAGTAATTTTATCATTACATTACAAACTATCTTTCTCTATCAAAATATAGAAAATTGTAACTTATAATATTAAAATTCACACAAGACACTCCAGGATTATATTGGGTGGACATGGACTTGGGACCAAGATCAACATAATTTAACATAAAATTGAATAAAATTATTTATTCTCTAAAAGTAGTAGAAAGTATTTAAACCTCTGTTATATTTTTGCTTGACATCAAATTCATATCAATATGGGTTAAACACATACCCTAAATATCCAAGAAGTATCTGATACTCGTTACAATAAAAAATAATAATAATAAAAATAAAACTTAATTTTCTAAATTTTAGATATGTTTAGGAAGGATTAGACACGTAATTGTGGATATCAAAAGAGAAACTAGTGTCAAATAAGCATAAATGGGTATTAATCCCTTTTAAAAACAGCCTTCCTTCATGACCAATGAATGTCACAATACCAAACAAACATAAACTTGTGTCCGGTTTTCAAACTAATTTGAATTAATGATATGTTAAAAGAACACAAATTTACACTATTTTAAACTAAGGAGATCAGCATATTTACTTTACCGCAATTCATAAGCAACAAAATTATCCCAAACTACAAGAGCTCACCTGCAATGCAACTCGAAAAATTAGCCGTTCATCATTTGCTCTACGCCTCACAACTCCCATTCCCAAGTGATTAGGGGGGTCAACAATTGTAGGATGCTGCAACGAAACCAGGGAATTCCTATTCATTGAAGATAGATTTGAGCGTGATGGTTCACTTATATCTTCCAGAATACATAGATCTGAGTCATCATCGTCTTGGGAGCTATTAACGATGGCATTACTGTGAATTGTTTTGCAGCTGACTTTTGAAAGATGAGTATCCAAACTCTTGGGCTGAATCAGTTTACTCTCTCTTTCATCCTTTGTGCAGCCTAATTGCTTCCTCATTGAAATGGACGGCTGGATGCAAGGTTGCTCTGAGGCCTTTACATAATGACCATCAGCAACCGGATTGGGATATTTGCTCTGAGTATGACGAGCTCTTTTAGATGACAAGTATTGATCTTCTTTTTCATCTTTTGTGTGGATCAAAAGCTCCTTCTTTGAATTGGACGGCAGAATATGCCTTGGGTGGTTGTCAGCATTAAACCCATTACCAACACTAGGAGAGGTCCTACTAAAAGCAACCAGTCCATCATTTCTTTCACCCTTTATATGAGCCATTTTCTTTTGGCTAGAAACATTTGACAGAGTACAAGGCAAGGGCTGTGACATTGTCTTGTCAATGATAAATCCACCATTGGTTTTAGTAAAAGAGTTTCCACCTGTTCGTGATATAAGTTTATCACCTTCACATTTGACATTAAGCTCACTGACATTGGGGTCACCAGTCATTGATAGTCCCAAAAGTTCTCCGCCAACTTTTCCCACCTGGACCTCTGACATCATCACACCATTTATGTGTGCGGCCTGAGTTGGAAGATACTCCAATTCATCCTTTAATTTTGCCACTGCTTCATTATTGTACATAAATTGAAGACTTAAACTATCATGTAGATTCCAATCCAAAGGTATATCCATATCCATCATGTCTCCAAAATTAATATCTGATTTCTCCAAAAGAGGACTGTGAGATCCATCTAAAACACATCACAAAATCTAAATCAGTTCTTCCACCTGAAATTTTATAGACAAAATAAAGCACACATGCAATGAAATGAAGGACCTACAGCACACAACGCACAAGCACAAGAAAAATACCACTATTTAAATTCTAATAACCAGACAATCACATACATTGGGAATTAGCACCACCCTCCAAACAACCAAATTGAAATTCAGCTTCACCCTTCAGGTGACTGGAATTGAAAGTTTCTATAAAATCTGAACCTTGATTAGCATCTCCAGCAGGAAAACTAAATGTAGCACTACAATTAGGTATTTCATATTGAGTTTCCTTACTGTCATCTTCGCTATAAAAAGAAACATTTTGAATGACTCCATTACTCCCTGCACTTAAAGAATCATGACCAGAAATTGGTAACATCCAATCTGTAAGACTTCCGGAGCAGCTATGCATCGGAGAATTAGTTCGAGCTGAAGCATCCTGCTTCCCTACAGACTCAAAAGAACCTTCTGAAACCCCTGCCTTTGAATCTGATGCTTCAGAGTTGTATGAAGAGGAAAATGTAACAGATCCAGCTAATTCAGCCCCGAAAGAAGATGTCCTTTCCGAATCCAGCAATTCTAAATAACATTCCAAGAAAGAACAGTCACAATGTAATCATTAAGCATCAAAATCACAGTTGTCAAATTAGGATTCAAATCATGAATCGAAATGGCCTTGTACTGAATCATGAATCATAAAGATTCATTCAATTTTTCTCAATTAAATAAAAAACTATATCCACACACTTAGATATTAAATAAAGCTTATCAAGATGAAATATTTAGACTTAAATTAATGAAATATGTTTTGAATGATAATCACGCGATTTGATATTTAAGAAGTTAGAGCATCTCTAATTGCAAATGCTATAATAGCATTACCATTGCCATTGCTATAATTTGGCAATGAATACTAGAAAATTGTAGAATTATACTAATGGTGCTTCAATGGTCAGATGCCATTTTGGCATAACCAAACACAGAAACTGGTGTGTTTGGGGCAATCATCAAGCCGGTCATCCTGAACACATTAGTTTCTGTGTTTGGTTCTGCAAAAATTTTGATTTTGCAAAAATTTATCTATTTTGCCTGGAGGGAGGGAGGAAGGGAAACGGTTTGTTTTGGCTGAGTTGGCACATATGGCAGCTACCAAAGCTTGTGTCAAATTTGGCACAAGCTTTAGCATTTGCCAAATTTGACAGCTGCCACGTTCACCATTGGAGCACCACTTTTCAACAGTTGCTGTTATACAATAGCAATGGCAGCTTCAATGGCAAATCATTGGAGATGCTCTTAACATAGGTTCCCATATAAGATCACCAACACGCCTTTTCCCTTTTAGATATTTCTTATCAACTATTCTTAATAAAGAAAGTAAACAAAGACAAACTTTTAATTTTCAAACAACAATACCTTGCTTGGTTTGGCTTATTGAAAAATACCATGTTTGATTTGGAACTTTCAAAAATAGCTTTTTGAGTTTTCAATCCATAATTTTTTGTTTTTAGTAAACTTTTTCCATATTTTAGTCGATTGTTTTTTATTTGTTTGATGCACCTAGTCTAGATGTACTTAAAAAGTAAAATATTTATAAAGAATTTTTTTTTTTAATAAATACAAAAACATAGTAAAATGTATTATTTTTATTTTTAGTTTTTTTTTTCGAATTTTTTGTATTTAGTTAGTTTTTTATAGATTTTTTCACAAAAAATATATTTTTGAAGTGTATCTATATTAAGAAAATTTAAAAAGTTAAAAAAATGATTAAAATCTTTAAAAAATTCACTAAAAATAAAAAATACAAAATGAAAACTCAAAAAACTATCTTCGAAAACTCTAAACCAAACAGAGTGAATTGTTTTGAACTTTTTACAACTAAAATAATAGAAACACTCACCTCAAAGGGGGTAAAGAAATTCAAATCTCCAAACATTTTCAAAAATCTCACTTGTTGCCTTCAGAATAATCCTTTTATAAGTGCAAACACTCGGAGAAAGTTGAACTTGTACGCCTAGAATATTGTAGAGAGAAGGTTCGTTTTTTCTAGGGTTTGAGTTTTAGAGAGTAAATAGGGAGGGAGAAAGTCAAAGGATGGCATATAGTAACCCTAAAGACCTTCAAAGGTTTGTGTGAACCATTTTCCAACTAAAAAATAAAAAAGATAGCCCAAAAATCAATTTCAACGAAATTGAATGTAAACCGATCAATTTACGATTCACCGATTCGGTTCACTAATTCATAGCTATTTGTGATGCATGCAACCTATACGATTCTAATAACAGAGATCAAAATGTAAAACCCAATTTCCCCAACTACTTCCACAGAAAAAAATGAAATCATTCTGCCAACATAAAATACCACTATAGGTCCCAGAAGCAATAAGGAAAAATAGTTGTCAAAATCATAGATTTACCCATTTGAAGCAGGGAACGTTCATCATTGCCAACATCAGAAGCCAACTTGCCTTGATGCTGTTTTTCTACTGATAAATCCTCTGGACTATTCTGCACATTACAACTTCAAGATTTAGTATTGAGAAAGGGATGCTTCCTTGAAACAACTAAAGGGATGAATTCACTCGTAAAAGAGCAAGGAGCAACAAGATCATCAAAAATTTAACATGAAAGGAAAGATGGAGGGGGATCCTTGAAACAACTAAAAGGATGTATTCACTCGTAAAAGAGCAAGGAGCAACAAGATCATCAAAAATTTAACATGAAAGGAAAGATGGAGGGGGATCCTTGAAACAACTAAAAGGAGGGGGGGGGGGGGGGGGGGGTAAGCCACCTGAATCATAAAAAGTCACCACATTCCTCTATATTTTGTTTATCTATTGTTTCTTTTATTTCCCTTTCTCAATAATCAAACAGTAGGATGGCTCATTTATGATGTGAAATGAATATGCAGAAGTCAAAGTCGAATGAAAAAGTCCCCATCTTTTTTTATTAGCAATGGAGAATATTATTACTAAAAAAACAAAGGTACAAATAAAATCAAGGGAGGAAGAAGTCCATCGAGAAAAAAGGAGATAGAAAAAGGTAACACAATTACACGTGACAAACAGCATTCCAATCTTTAGAAATCAAAACAAAGACGTCTCTTTTATCCATCAAAAAAACAAAGACATCTCTTTAAAAGAGGAAGAAACCGAAAGCCAAAATCAAGAAAGAAAACAATAACAATTTTTTGTCCCATCCCAAAGAACATCAACATCTTCAAACTTGTAATAAAAAAAATAACCTATACCACATTGCATATCACACTATTCCATAGAAAACAGGGCCTCTTAATAAAACTAAAACCTATTAATCAAAAATGAACATATGAATGCATGAGGCCGGAAACTACCCGATCTACCTCTACCAATTGAAATAAGCAATACCATAATGCCATGGCTAGAGGACAGTGAAAAATAATTATGGGTTAATTACCTTTTTAGCCGCCAAAGTATGCAATTTGTATCATTTTTGCCCCCAATGTTTCAATTGTGTCGATTAAATTCCCAATGTATAAAAAGTGATTCGATTTGGTCTCTCAACCTAACTTTGATGCCGTTAAAGCCAATGATAAATGTCGAAATTCAATTAAAAAAAGTATACTTTCAGTCCTCAAAGCACGCATTCTGTGTCATTTGGTCACTAATGTTAAAATTATGTCAATTTAGTCCACAAAGTAATTTTGTCTCTTTCTAGGGGTAAAGCTTGGAAACCATAAATACAAATCATCAAAAATATTCCCACCACTCCAAGAAATGCAATTTTCATGATGTTTTTTCAAGATACCAAAAAAAAACTGTTACCCAAAACTTATTTTCAGCAACAAAATGAGATCCTCATCAGCGATTTTTTTTGTCAATGATTTTTTTTCCAGACAAATTTTTCTGTTGTGACAAAATTGTTTTTCTTGTAGTGTGCCATCCAATATATTTTGATATTACATATACATACATGTTGGATGGTGGGAATATTTCCCTCCGAAGATTTTGGTTTTTTTTTTTTTTTTTTTTTTTTTAAATTTTTTTTTAAAATTTTTCAAAAAAATTTGTTTCCATGCATTATCCTAGTTCAAACAAAGAGGGAGACAAAATTAGGTTTGGTGACCAAATCTTAGTAGCAAGAAATGACTACTTGGTTGACATTTCTTACTCAAGTGTGCGATTCCGCACTCCCGTCAAGAAAGAAACTTCCTCCCAACCCAACTGAGACAGAACCTCTCAAACATACAAATCTCAAAGAAAAAAAACAATTCACACTTATTTTAGTTCTTTCTATTAATATAGTACTTATTTATAGAAAAAAAATATAGTTTATAGTTGACATCAATCTCCAGTAATAATTCACATTTTCACATATATTACAACCAGGCAGAAAAGAATAACTGTTAATATATTTATGCATTTAATACATAAATAAAATGCATACAAACTCCATAGGCGCTCTCAACCTTAAAAACTAGTATATTAAGCCCTTGTTCTCTAGCTCCCATCCCCGCCGCCACTTCTTGCAACTCAGGACCAAATTGAAACACTTTTTATACATTGGACTGAATTTAACCAACTTGAACATTTAAACATTAGAGATCAAAATGCATACTTTATAACTAAAAATGTAATTTTAAATTGAATTTCCATATTTATCCCAAGCTTTAACAACATCTACAGACTGAATCAGATTAGGGACCAAATCAAAACACTTGTTTGAGGATTAAATTGACAAAATTAAAACATTGGGGACCAAAATTACACAAATTGCATAGTTTGGGGACTAAAAAGGTCGATAAATAATCAATGCTTTCTGACTTCTCCTACACATTTTGCACCATTTTGGAACCAAATAGCAATTAGGTCTCTGCTTTTAAATCACGGCATTACTATTGAGTTCCATTTCAGCCAAGGACCATACAAAGATTAACCTTAAGGAACACAAATACTTTCCAAATCAATATATGAGAAACAAAAGCCCCTAGATTCGACCAAAACAAGTTGTCTTTCAGCATGTGCACCAATTTAAACTAAACTAAACTAAACCTAAAGACAACGCCACCATGGAAACATGCAACTGCAATTACATTCAAAGACCATCAAACAACATAAAATTGTTTTTCCCCGTGGAGCTAACTAACTTATGACTAAACTTTCCAAAAAAGAGTCGGAGTATCATGAGAACATATCTGAATGGAAACATACCCAACCTCGTTAGTATCAACAAGAATCATTTACCCACAAGTTTTACATTTAATTTAGGTTCTAGCTGATATTTGTTCAACTAGTGGTGTGTTATAAAGCTTACCAAAAGCAAATCTACTAACTATTGACAATATATTGGCCTGTGCCTAATATTCTTTAAATAAGTTAACAAACCCCATACTCATATACCAAGTTGCAAAAGCTACAGGCCACATAACATCTATTGGGATAATATTCTCTTGGGATTGTGATCAATGCATAGAAATTCTATTCAAGACAGACATTTCTCATATTTACTTCTTTGTATATATGCATGACATATCCATATGAACAAATATGCATAATCTACATAACCCATTACTTAAAGCTTGCAAGTTTGCATTTTTTTACTGCTGCCAAGTAATCCGCTAAAGCCTATTTTGGGAAGTGGGTTAAAAGTCCCTTTCCAGCTTTTAAGCCACTTCCCAAAAAAGCCAAAAAGCAGCATTTACCATCTTTCCAAAAACACCCCTAAATCAAATTCACATGCACTAATATAGTTCAGCAATCATAATGACAAACATATATATATATATATATTTCAGCAAAGAAAACAAAGCAAATAACTCTAAATTGCATACAATATACAACTTAATTCTCGTAATTTACGCCGATTTTTGAATGATCCACAACAAAGTCTAGGATCAGAACCGACCTGCACAGGATCGGAACTATCTTCCAGGATTTCCCATAACGACTGAAGATCGATGGACAGATCAATATCGCCATCACCCACCGATAAATCTGTGAAAGACCAAAGGTTCGACCTATCGGCTGCCATCAACATCGCAATTCAAAGAATCACGCAAAAACCAAAGAAAAACCCTAATTTACTCCAATATCTCGAAACCCTCAGCACAACCCCCTACACAGTTCCGATGATTGAATTCCAGAGTCCAAACCCTAATCCGGCAAAATCGGCAAATCGAATCAAGCCATGACGAAGAGATATAGAGAGAGAGAAAGTTCGATGTGGTTTCTGTGATGCGGACTTTTGTTTGCTGTACTTTTGAGAATTGGGAAATTTGAGAGAGAGAGAGAGAGACAGAGACAGAGACACAGTGGCGAGGAAAGCGGTGGCGTAGGTTAAAAAATTGGTAGAAGTGCGCAGGTTAAGGACTTCTTTGTTTTCTCATACCCTGTGTGAGGTGGGAAAGCGAGAGGATTAGGTTACTCTACGCCGTGTTGTCCTAATACCTATATTATAGAGTCATTTCGTCTGACAAGGTTGTTACACTTTTCTGTTTTCTGTTAAAAATGATTGAGAGTTCTAATTCATCACTTTCAATTTATTTTTAATAATATAAGGTGAATCATATGAAAAATGACTAATATTTCCCTCTCTATAATATTTCCCTCCCTATCTCTTTATACTTTTTCTTTCATCTTATTAAAGATTAAAATAAAAATAATATATTAAAAAATGTATGTTTCTGTTCAATATAAGTTTGAAAGAATGAAGGGTGGTCGAATGTGTTGATCGTCAATAATATAGTTAGAAGCAAGTGCCGATCGAAAGTAATGATCGAAATATCGTTAGAGATTACAAAGGCTCCGTTTAGGAAGATAGGCTGTGGATTTTTTTGGCTATTTTAGCCATAAAAGACAAAATAGGTTATTTTAGTCACAACAAACAAAATATCACATCTAATCCATAATCATTACACTCTTCTCTCACAAAAAAAAGTCAAAAAAGTCAAAAAAAATTTCCCAAACCAAGCTTTTTAGTTCAAGTTAAAATAGCCAAAAAAACTAAAAAGCCAACCCACCTCCCAAATCAACCCAAAAGTAAGTGAAATGTAGTTGGTTGGTCCCGTTTGTTAACTTTTTAGTTTTTGATTTACAAAAAATAAAAAATAGGTTTTTATTTATTTTTGTAAAACAAAAAACTTATTTAGTGTAGGAAAAAAATTTAAAAATAAATATAAATAAAAATATAAAAATATATTTGTCGAGTTGTCAAATTTGATGACCAAATATGGAGGATAGACAAATTGGTGACTTGTAGTGGTGGGTAGTTAAAGGTGTTTGTCGAAATTAGTGATTGGATATCGTCGAAAGAAAAGGTGATCAAAAATCACAATGATGACCGCCCACTCATTGGAGAGTACCCGAAGGTTGGCCATGGCTCGCCACCCCTGGCGGTGGAGGGTGGTAGTTGGCTGAAGGTGGTGGATAAAAAGAGAAAGTGAAAACTTATTTTAAAAACAAGTAAAAACAATTTTTGTATGCATTTTAAAACATTTGAAAAGTTTGAAATCAATTTTTTCTTTAAACGGAAATAATGTACCAAAGAAGTTATCGTTTCATTTTTTTTTAAAAAAAATGAAACCCTTTAGAGAGTCACCAAGATTAAATCTTATATATAAATTTGTTAACGTATTTCTTTAACTTAATAATATAGCTAGTTTATTTAATATTATTTTATTTATAGCTGTGTGGGTGATTTTCTGACAACACTGCAAGCTTAGTAATCAGTTGGAGAGAACCGGCTGAATAGATGGCACCTGACTGACCTGCAACAAAAATATAATAATCCCGCGGTGGTTCGTCCACCCGGGGCACTTCGACGATCAAGTCAGTATATCTCTCAAAGATAATCAATTATTCAACTCACAAGCTTGAGCCTAAAAAGCATACCTTAGACTCACGAGGATATCTCTCTTTTATAGCCAACATAAACCTAGTCCCAATAGAAGCCTAACTTCTATGGATTCAGGATTACTGCTAATCTTGGACTCCCAGTAAGATTAGGTTAAACTCTCTAAGAGTCTTATCTTAATACAAACTGAAGTCTTCTCTCATTCTAGGACTCTTATCGCTCATCCAAGTTGAGTTCCCTTTTCATTCTAGGACTCTTGTCCCTTATCCACTTATCTCGGATTCTGATATTTTCAGAGATAACCTCGGCCTTGCCGAGATCATCTCGGCGTCACGACCAGGACACGTGGCACCTCGGCTGACACGTCAACGTCATCTTGCCACGTGTTAGCACTCAGAAAATATATCCCCACAAAATACCCCTAGGTTCTATTACCTCGGTATTCTGAGGTGATGGAACCTATACTGTTCGTTCATCTATGCCCCTCTGTCCGAGATCAAACTTGCCGACCTCAAAGTTCCCTGGACTTTACTGTCCACTGGTGTCAAGAATCAAGTTTCATGCTTTCCAAGCTGCTTGAAATCGCACCTCCTAGCCGAGGGTCTGGTTCCATTAATTCGTAAACTCCAAGAGCTGTGCAACTGCTCCACTCAAACTCTCTGGTGAGTTCCCGATTTCCAGTCATTTATTTGACTCCGGCAATTTTCATATCGACGTTCATTTCACTTTGTAGGTTCATAAGCTCTTTACTTGCTATTAAGCTCAATCTTTCATAACTTTTCTGAATCTGTTTACTTGCCATCTGTTGCCTTCTATTTTCGTCTGCCTTCAAGTTTTGAATTATTTGAATGCCTGGCACTGTTCTTGTCATATCCGCATTCTGTTGCTAGCATCGTGTCTGGGTCATTACTTTCCTGTTCTTCACATACTTACTTAGTGTCTGTGCACTTGGCTTTATTCTTGAACTTTGTCGTCTTCTTGACTATTTTTCTCTTTTTTCATTCAATCCTCAGGCTTTTTCTCTTTCTAGCTCTTTTGCTTAAATCCGTCATTGTTCTAAGCTTTCAAGCTCTGCAACTGTTTTCGTTCCTCTTCTCCGGTGAAGCTTACGTCATTCTGTCATTTTCGCATCCGTCGTCTGACTTCGGCAATTCTCATTCCGGCTTCCCTCTTTCTGGTAAGCCACTGTTCCTCCTGGTTTTATTTCTTGTTGCTTTCCAAGAAGCTCTGCTTCATTGTTAATCACCATTGCTGTTTTACCCGTTGTTTCTAAATCATCTTCTTGAATATACATTGTTCACACATCTGTTGATTTCTGCCACTGTTCTTGGCTTGACACACTTGTGCAATCTTTTTGTCTTGATTTCTTGATAGCTTCATCACCATTCTTGATTAAGAATTACATTCTTGTTTCTGTTTTCTGTGTCTTTTTCCAGATTCTTGCTTTTAATCCTTGCCTTCAAACTCCGAGGTGCCAATCGCTGAGAAGAGCCTTGATCAAACTCTTCGGGAGATCGATGCTGAGCTCGAGGCTGAGAAGGCTGCTGAGAAGTCTTCCCAACTGTCTTCTATATCCTGCCATTGATGCCGAGTAGTTTTGTTTCCTTCTTTTACTCCTTGTACCTTGTACTTTGTCTGTCTTTGTATGCTTTTAATCTGGCCGACGTGCCATTTTTATAGTCTGAATAATTTATTTTTCAATATTCAGGCCGAAGTGCCTTCTTTCTTCTTTAAATGCATTTCTCTGATTTCTTCTTTGAATATATGTCTTCTTTTTTCTGCTCTTGTATGATTCTATACTTAGAAAAATTTGCATGTCTTCAAAGTACACCTTGACTGTGCAATCTCTTCGGGTAAAATACCTCTGTCACAACTTCTAATCTTGCTCATCTCGGCTTTGTCCTAACACTTGAAAATATTGTAACAAATATTTTCACAAGTGTTGCTTGAACTTGACTTTAACTTGTAAATTTTTCTCAAAAATTTCAACAAGTGTTTAACCATCATCCTTTATCATAACCTCGGCTTAACTTCAGCTTGTAAATTTTTCTCAAAATTTCAACAAGTGTTAAACCATCTTCCTTTATCATAACCCCGGTTTAATTATAACTTGTAAATTCACACAGAATTTCAACAAGTGTTTAAACCAATCTTCTTCCGATACGACCTCAATTTAACTTCAACTTGTAAATGCACACAGAATTTCAACAAGTGTTTAAATATCACATCGGTTTAACTTCAATTGTAAATTTACACAAAATTTCAACAAGTGTTAAATATCATCTCGGTTGAACTTCAACTTGTAAATTCACACAGAATTTCAACAAGTGTTAAATATCACATCGGTTTAACTTCAACTTGTAAATTCACATAGAATTTCAACAACTGTTAAATATCATCTCGGTTTAACTTCAACTTGTAAATTCACACAGAATTTCAACAAGTGTTAAATATCACATCGGTTTAACTTCAACTTGTAAATTCACACAGAATTTCAACAAGTGTTAAACATGACCTCGGTTTAAATCCAACTTGTAAATTCACACAAAATTTCAACAAGTGTTAAATATCACATCGGTTTAACTTCATCTTGTAAATTCACATAGAATTTCAACAAGTGTTAAATATCATCTCGGTTTAACTTCAACTTGTAAATTCACACAGAATTTCAACAAGTGTTAAATATCATATCGGTTTAACTTCAACTTGTAAATTCACACAGAATTTCAACAAGTGTTAAATATGATTTCAGTTTAATTTTAACTTGTAAATTCACATAGAATTTCAATAAGTGTTAAACATCATCTCGGTTTAACTTTAACTTGTAAATTCACACAGAATTTCAACAAGTGTTAAATATCACATCGGTTTAACCAACTTGTAAATTGCTACAATTTCAACAAGTGGTAAACATCATCTCGGTTTAACCAACTTGTAAATTGCTACAAATTTCAACAAGTGGTAAACATCATCTCGGTTTAACCAACCTGTAAATTGCTATAAATTTCAATAAGTGGTAAATATCATATCGGTTTAACCAACTTGTAAATTACTATAAATTTCAACAAGTGGTAAACATCATCTCGGTTTAACCAACTTGTAAATTGCTACAAATTTCAACAAGTGGTAAACATATTCTTCTTCTCTTTGCCCCCTGCATGGCTTCTACATACTCCTTTACGAACCTTATAAAAGCTCTTCAACCTGGCTAACTGCAGTCCAACCTTGTGTGTTTTCTTTTTTATCTTCTGGGATCTGAGATTTGCTCACTGAGCTCTTCTCTTTTCGGACTTAAGTGTCGAGATCTTGTCTGCTAGAATCTTGGATCTGCTCACTCAGGTTGAGCTCTTCTCTTCTCGGACCTACTCATCTAAGCCGAGATCATGTCTTCTAGGATCCGGGATCTGGAATATAGGATCTGCTCACTTAGGTTGAGCTCTCATCTTCTCGGGCCTACTTGTCTAGACTGAGATCATGTCTTCTCAGATCCGGGACCCAGGATTTGGAATCCAAGATCTGCTCACTCAGATTGAGCTCCCGTCTTTTCGGGCCTACTTGTCT